TTCTCCAAGTGGAAAGAAAAATCTCATTTAAACTAATATGCATATAATGTAAATATAGACCTTTATATTTCAAAGTACTAAAAGATCAAAGACACTAAAGACTTACTTGGGAAACATTAAATGTTCATTTTAATTATTTACTATAATTATTTGTGTATAAATTGACTTTAAAAAGGCTTTCTGAGTATAGTTAGGAAACAAAGATACTTTCCACTTGCAACATCAAATTCTCTAATTATCCAATGAGGTGTCCAACAGTTCAGTTCATTCCTGACCCTTGAGGCCCTTGTGTGTTAGGTTGTACAAGTGTGATGGCCCAGTTACAAAGACTACAAGTTCAGGTGCCACATGCAGGATCTTCAGATTACCTGGGCTCTGTCCATCATAAGAAATTTTATCTGCTAATCAGAGAGGAAATATATCTCTTAGATACAAGAGGCCACAAAGGATGCATGCCAGGAGCAACCTCTTTGAAGAGACTCTAATGGTCTCTGTGTGGTGGAGTGCACAAGCTGAGATACACATTTGTGAGCATACACTCATCAGCTTGATATGTATAGCTGTTAACCTGTGAGCTCTCTATTCCCTATTCTTTAAAGGTTTTTTTTCCTTATTTACTGTTCCAGGTGTCTTTGGGTAGGCAGGATCAATTATTATCTCTGTCTTCTATCTCTGCTTCTGCTCAAGGTTGAGGTAGGAGTTAGTAATGAAAATTACAACAACCGTCTAGTTTTGGTTTGCTATTTCTGGCACTCAGTATCCATTTGGAATCATGATAGAAGTTACCTCGATAGAACAAAAGTATCTAGTGCCACTAAAGAATTTCTAATCTAAAGTATTCAGGAACTTTGCACCAAAACTAGGGACAAACTAGGGACAAAGTCCAGATATATATTTTGTATGTCATAGAAGCTTGTACTTCTTCCATTAAATTTTGGAGCAAATAGATTTGTATGGCTACTCTAATTTTAATTATCCCCTCTCTCTTGTACACACACACACACACACACACACACACATCCCAGGACCCCAATCTTGATGTATTGTAATTCTGTATGTGTTCTCTCTTTGATTTACACCCTAAAACTTTGCAACAGGTATCTCTATTAGCAATTGTTCTACTCATTTGTGATTCTGCTCTATTTAATGCTCAAATCCGAGTTAGTAACAAACCAAAGGACTTTGATCTTTTTTTTCCGATGACCAATAGCATGGTTTAAAGACAAATTTCATGCAAAGACTAAAAATCAGAACATTCAGCCATCCAGAGGATTTAAATCAATAAAGTATTTCTGCAAGATGCTGTGGAGTTGGCTGTACTTATGAGCTAGTGAACTCTTTACTCTTGTCTTTTTCTGGTTTTTCTTTCCAGGCTCTATATTCACCATACATTTTTGCATTTGAAGATTTTTCTTTTCTTTTTTTTAAATAATTTATTTATTTTTTCTCAAATTGTAATTCATTCACACAGGGGTTATAAACATAGAAAGGCAGGACGTGGGGAAGAGGATGACACTGGAGCGTGGGTGTTCAGGGGGAATACAGATATCTTTCAGAACCAGGTATAGGCTGGGTGGAGATTCAGGGGACAGGTCACTATGACTCTGCCTATGACTCACTTGTCCTTATCTAAGTTGGTATTGTCTGCCAATGCTACCTATTTACAAGGTCTATGACTACTCGGGCTGGTAAATTTCCACAAAAGCTGCCAGTTTACAATAGCTTACAGCCATCTGTTTCAATGTTTTTCCACAGAGACCCAAGACTTGGTGTTAGTATACATGTATGACAGGCCTATTGCTGATTTTAGGCCTATGGCTGATTTTAGGCCTTCAGTGTGTAATCAGGGCTGCCCCTGACATCTCCTCCCTTCTCTAAGTATAGAAGGGCTGTGGCGATTCCTTGCAAAGGTGGGGATAGAGGCCTGACCTCCAGTAATTGAAGGGGACCTTGTAATGGCTCCGGTCCCCCTGTCGTTGTCCAGTGAGGCATGAGGGCCCTACCCATCCCGATGTCTTTTTCCTGGAGAGGAGATACTTTTGACATCAACCCCTATGCAGTCAGGCTTGTCCCTCAGGGAACCCAGAGAGATATTTTTATCTTTTATTTATATTCTCTTGCAGTGCTTAGCCTCGCAGCCTATTTTTATTTTCTAACTAAAACAAATTTAAATTGGTTCTATGGGATTTTTCCTGGTGTGTGTGTGTGTGTGTGTGTGTGTGTGTGTGTGTGTGTGTGGTGTGTGTCTGTGTGTGTGTGTCTGTGTGTGTGTCTGTGTGTGTGTGTCTGTGTGTGTGTCTGTGTTTCTGTTTCTGGGTATTAATGTTGTTAAATATACAAGCAGGATTACTTTGTCAGGAAGGATCATCCATGTGTCTGTGATCTTCGTGCAGGATGCTTCTTTGAGAGTAACTAGTATCAGGATCCTTAACCGTATCCTTGACACAACAGATGGAGCAAGTGGGATGGCTGATGCCAAAATTAAAATCAGTTGGACTATCATTCTAATCAGCATTTCCATCTCACTAGTACAGTCCCTGGTGACTTATTCAACAGCAATGAAAGGTTCCCAATATGTCATTGTGCTCACATTTTGTAAATGAACATTTGATAGTTTAATAAAATGTGATATATGTCTGTTGATAATTAGGATAACTGAGAAATGAAATTATAACAATTAATAATTCTAAAATTACATAGGAGTATTAATTTACTTTTTGTGTTTCGATTTTTTATGTAATTGAAGACTTTGCTCTATCTTTTAGATGTTCCTCTTCTCATTTACTTCAGTCAGTATATCATTAATAATTTTCCCTCAAAATAAAATATCTCTTACTAATACCTAATTTTTGATGGCTAGGTAATAGTTTTGTAATAGTTTTATAATCATTACCTTATTATATTCTTAACTATTCCATTGTCAGCCCAGTTTTCAATATAAAAGTGGCGCTGTGAGAAGCATACGTTTTGTGTTTATCACAGTTGTAGTGAACTACTAAGGGCAGAGGAGATTGTTCAGTTAGCCAGCATGAGGACCCAGGATCAGATCTCCAAGACTCATCTAGAGATATCATTACCTGTGATAATGTGTGTCTATATTCCTAGTCCTGGGGAGGAAGAGACAAGAGAAGCCCTGGGCGTTTCATCCAGGTGGTTAACTAATGGGTAAGATGGGAAGAGTCTTGGGTCAATGAGAGAGACTGTCTCAAAGATAAGTGGGAATTGATAAAGAAGACAGGAAACATTGATTTCTGAATTTCACATGCACATGCAGAGATGTTCATTTCTACAGATGGAGACATTCAGGAACAACACACACAGACACACAGACACACACACACATGCAGAGAGAGAGAGAGAGAGAGAGAGAGAGAAAGAGAGAGAGAGAAAGAGAGAGAGAGAGAGAGAGAGGTAAGGGGTACCAGGGTTCTTGTTATAGTGTGCCATTTTTTCCTCACTAGCAGAATATCAGATAAGTACATGTGATCTTGGGTGGGAGTGTATCTCAGGCACTTCATTTATTTTCAAATAATCTGAAGTGTCCACTGGACTAATGGCCTATGAGGTATGCAGGAAGGATACATAGACAGCCCTTAGGCAGCGAAAAGGGAGTCAGGGCATCATAAATGGTGAAATTTCATTAGTAGAGATGTAAATGGGAAAGAGCTTGAACATTGCAGCCTTACAGTAGTGGAAGTATAGTTGGTAAAATATGGGGTATAATGTGAAAATGTATTAGCAGGACCAATGTTGTAACCAGACTCTGAATTTCTGCATGGAAATCTCTGAGCTTTGGGGAAATAGGTTCTAGGACCTTCTCACATACAAAGCCATGTAAATGCATAAGTCCTTTATATAAAATGGTTTACTATCCACATGTAATCTATGCATATCCTTCTGTGTATCTTACATCATCATTGCAATACCTAAATACGGGAATCCAATGCAAAGTTGTTAAATGACATTAAGAAATATCAAGAAAAATCAATCTGTACATGTTCAGAAGAGATACAAGTTTTTACTCAAAAGGCTTGATCTGCAGATGGCTGAATGTGTCATATGGAAGTGGACATTGCAGGCATGAACAGCTACTGTATTTTAGCTACTCAGTAAACATTTTTACTGTATGTTTTATGTTCAGAGCCTCTGTAATAATCCAGGACAATATGGTGGAAGCCACAAAGCACTTAACCTTCGGGAGAGAGAATGAAAATAAACGAAGTTTGATTTTACATAATATTCTCCCTTTAAATTTATTTATATTTCAAGACTATGAAGCATTAAGGTTTTGGAAAAGTATCCACATGGCAGCAATTGGAGTAGTTGGAAGCTCAGGATCAAACAACTTCAACAATGCAAATATTTGAAAGATTTATTATTATAATATTTTTGGGGGGATTGTGAATTATTAACATTATTTTCCCCTTCTCTTTTCCCCCTCCAAATCTTTCCATATTCTTCTCCTTTCTTTTAAAATGGATGACTCCCTATTCATTAATTGTTGCTGCAAATATATGTGTATATGTGTATACATACATGTATTGCTAAAAACAACCTCTTCTCAGCCTGTTAATGATACTCATATGTTTGTTTTCATGGCTCACCATATGACTATGGATAACTCGTTTTTTTGTTTTTCTCTGGAGAGGACTGTTTCTCCCATTCTCAGTATTCCTTACTTTCCTAGTTCTTTGTGTCTGGTTGAGGCCTCTAAGATGGTGTTTTCTAGTAGTGTCAGAAGCTACACCCATGAAGTCTCACTAATATGGCTATTTAAACATGAGTTGAACAAGGACATCAATAGACATGCTAAAGTGGACTGGGGAAGCCCATAAAGACTCCTGTTATTATTCCTGAGAATTTTGTTTCTGTTACTTGGAATCAATTTATATTATGAACTTTTTAATTAGCGCTACTCTGAAAGATCTATTTTGTTCAAATAAAACATACGCTAAAGTTAGAAGGAAATTTGGTAACTTTTTTTTTTTCTTATATGATAGGGACCAAAGTCAAGATGGATATCCAGAAATGGTATTTGAAAACTTCAAAGCTGGCACTGGCGTTGGCGATTATCCACTCAAAACCAGCAGACAGAAGCAGCAGAGAATATACAGAGCACCTGGCCACCTTGGTGACCCAGCAGGAGTCCAAATGGAAATCAAAAGTTGAAGTCTTAGAAGCAGAGGTCCTACAGTTACGTCAAAAACTTTTCCTGAGTAGGATGTCCTCAGGATTGTTTAAGAATGGTGAGTATGTGAATCACTTTTCAGCAACCTGTAAATCTATTACACCATAATTAGCTAGAAGTCTATTACAAACTTGAGAGTTTTTTTTTAAATATAGACAAAATCTTCTTGATCCAGTAGACTGTTTTCTCTTTAGTTAATTAGTTAATCATTGGAAGTTACTGTTCCAGCCAAATGAAGAACCCACGTTAGATTAGGAGACTAAGTTAACAGAAGTAAATTACTCATAGTGAAAAGGATTCTCTATTATCATTGTTGTGATTGTGGTAATAAAGATGAACCCAAGGCTGTGAATATTGTACAACAAGCATACTGCCACTGAGTGACAATAATGTCTGTGGCCAACTTACAATTCACTTTAAAATCTCATTCTTTAATTCTACTATTTTATTTTTCTCTTATATAATAACTGTAACTTACAAAGTCCCAGCTCTCGGGAGGAATTAAGGTCCCCAATACATGGAAGATGAGGCACTATTTTCTCTATTGATCACCTACCATTCTAGTGGGAGAAACAGACCTAAAATTAACCTGATTATGGTGTTTTTCAATAGAGGGCAATAGGGGTGTTGACCACATGCCAAAGAAGCCACTCATCCTGCCTAGTTCTTTGGAGATCTGCTCCTCCAGGTCTGTATACTTGTGAATGAAATTGTTTCAGAGGATCTAACAAAAGACAGAGTTATGAGCTTAGAGAGATGAGTAGAAAGTACACCCACATTCAGAATCCCTTTAGTATTGCATTTTGGGTAAGCAGAGCTCCAGTAAGCAAGATGGCCATGAAAAGATGAAAGGAGGAGAGTTGACCTCAGAAAGCTCAGAAAGGCCCTAAATATCAACTGGGGAAAGTTGTCATCATTGTTAAGTTTACTATAGAAGTGAAAGTTACAGGGGAGATTATACTGGGAGAGTACAGGCAAAACAGGGTTCCCTAGTGCATACTGGAACATATATCACATGATTCATTTAATTCAGGAACTTGTTTTGAACCAGAAGAATGATTAGGAAACAATTCTGGTAACTTGGGGGAAAAAACACGTAAATCAGATCATGTTTTAAATTAGATCACGTTACTTCTATGCATAAAATTCTTTCCTGGCTTTATTTCGTTTTAGATGAAAAATTTCTATAGTGGCCCATAGGTGAAGTCAGTTCTCTCATCTCTTCCTCCCCACCTTGTCCACTCTCCCATCATAAGCTAGTTGTAGCCTGGAAGGCTCCTTTAGGGGATGTGTCTCTACTATCTTTTCTGACATATTGTATCTCTGCATTCAGTTTTTATTTTAAATGTCATCTCCTTTGTGAGCTTTTCCCTGACCATCCCATTCTGCTTATATTTCATCTTCCATGAGGCATTCTGTGGAAAGTTTGTTTGGGTGGCGCCTTATGTCCTGATCTAGAGTCTGAATTTATTGAGGAGTAGAATGGTGGGAGAGGGGGGCAGGGGGAAGAGAGGAGGAGGACGAGGACAAGGACGAGGAGGCAGCATCTTTGTTCCAGATTAAATCCTAACACATTACAAGGTGCTAAGTACACTTTTGGTAACTGGATATGGGACATAGATGTCACTGGAGACAGGAATACTAATTCTATAAGCTTTCACCAAAGCCCATGATTTGAACTCTTGTTAAAATGTAATGCTTGGTGTGAGCTGTTGAGAGGTATGGCCAGTTGGGTCCCACAGAGTAGAGCAGAGACTGAAGGAAAGGCCATCCAGAGGCTGCCCCATCTGGGGATTTATCCCATCTGCAGATGCCAAACCTAGACACTATTGCTGATGCCAAGAAGTGCTTGTTGACAGGAGCTTGATATAGCTATACTCTGAAAGGCTCTGCCAGAGCCTGACCAATACAGATGCGGATGCTCACTGCTGACCATTGGACTGAGCACAGGGACCCCAATGGAAGAGTTAGGGGAAGAACTGAAGGAGTGGAAGGGGATGGGAACCCCATAGGAAGAACAACAATATCAACCAACCAGACCCCTAGAGCTCCCAGGGACTAAACCACCAACCAAAGAGTACACATGGAGGGACCCATGCCTCCAGCTACATATATAGCAGAGGATGGCCTTATCTGGCACCAATGGGAGGGGAGGCCCTTGGTCCTGTGGAGGCTCAGTGCTTCAGCATAGGGAGAAGTTAAGGTGGTGAGGCAGGAGTGGGTGATTGGGGAGCACCCTCGTAGAGGCAAGGGGAGGGGGATGAGTTGAGGGTTTGTGGAAGGGAAACTTGGAAGGGGAACATTATTTGAAATGTAAATAAATACAATAATGAATAATAAATTAATAAAAATAATTATAATGAAAAATAAAGTGACTTCACTAGTATGTTAATAGATTATTATCAGACTGGGTCTGTTATTAATAACCAGTTGGACTCTGTGTTCTGAGCTCCTCTTCCCTCTGATTCTCAACTCTGCCATAGATCTATGGACTATGCAGAGAGTCCCTGGTATCAAGGAAATTGTTACCAAATGTAGCCACTTAGCTGTGACCTTTTAATTTACCAGCTGAATAAATGTGTATTCTTTGCCTATTATAAGTCTGTGATTTTAAGTGTAATAACAGAAAAGAGACTAAGACATCTTGTGTGAAGATTAATGAATTGAACTAGGTTCATAAGAATCAGAGCTTAAAAGACAGACGTTTTCCAAAATAGACATTTGTGATGTATGTGGGAATGAGTTCAGAGAGTGGCTATGGTGAAATTAAGAATTTGGAGGCTCCCACCCTACCTTATTAAACGGATTGTAATAATTTCTGTGCAAACACAGGAAACTTATAAGAAAACATTGGATAGAGTGTAGGCTTGTCTGATAGAGACCAATCCCAGCCAATGTGGGTAGAAATGTAGAGGGGAGGTAGATATATGATCAGAAAACTCAGAGCGGATGAGTAGGCAGGAACCGAAAACTTATATTCAGGACTTCTTTCTTAGCATTTAAATAATAGTTGGAATTGTAATTATGTAAACTTACAGGGAGACCTGGACTGAGAGGGTGGAAGGGGATGTTTGTGCCTACCATTGCAAAGGTGAGCAGAGGCAACGAGGCACTCTTGTAAGTGGCACGTCTTGTCAATGTAAAGAACACATGCATGCAGTGGGTAGTAGAGAGACACTAACTGGGAAGGATTATGTGCATGACATATAGATTTAGTATGTGGAAAACATGATGACTACCTATCTAAATGTTACTAAGTGTCATTGTATAAACCAAAAATTATCATTTTAATTACAAAAATAATTATAATTAAATTGTAATTGTATCTCATATTTATAATTTATAATAATTAATATAATTTTAATACTTTATTTATATCTATTAATTTAATTATATTCAATAGTTATATAATGATATTCAATAATTATATAATTTAATTATGCTTAATAATTATATGATTTAATTTAATAGTTTAAATAATTTAATTTTATAACAGTGATTATGTTTTACAATTATAGTTATATAAAATTTAATTATAAAAATTAGAATTAGTTTTATAAAATTATAATACTACATAATTTATACCCATATTCTATCTCCATAAAGTCCATTTCGACAATGAGTTGCTTGAATATACACAGTGAACAAATAGTAAACATAATCAATCATTCTTTTCCTTCTGTGAAGTTATAGGATTAATATAATGGCAAAATGTACAAAATTCCAGCAGTCTTGAACTATGCCTATTGTAAGATCCCATGATAACAACAATATTGCTTGCCATCCAAATTCTATTTGTAGTACCAAAATAGTGCACATGATGTCTGTGAGTATTTATAGACACTAAGGCACTTTGTGCTAACATGTTTTATATCTTTCACTTACAGTACCTATGAGAGGATTTTCAAAAATTATATAATGACAACAAGTTTTCCTCACATTGGAGTTTCAGGTCCAGTGTTCCACTGCAGGTATTTGGGAGTATTCTGTGTCTCCACTTGAAATCTCAAACTTAAAAAGAGGAATACCTTAGTGTGTACAGAAATTTAGTAATGGCTAAAAGGGAGGTGCTAAATGAAGCAAAAGGGGAGGTGAAACAAAGGAAAGTAAAATAAAAGATTAGTGGTTAAATAAAGTTAGGTAATTTGAAAGGATGTAATGCCTTGTTCTGAAAAAGTTATTCCAAAGAATCAGAACCGTAGTAAAGATGTATTTATATTATTAAGTATTTCTTTCTGGAGTTTTCAGAGTTTCATTATATTTGTACCTATTTTTAAGTGTTAATGGATGCTGAATTGAATACTTTTGGAAAAAATTGAGAGGCTGGAGAACATAATTTACATTAACTGTCCACTGAAGCAATGGAACAATCTAGAATTAAATGAAGCAGAGATGAAATGGTTTATACAGCATCTTAGGATCCCAGTTATTTTTGTATTTTGATTGATTTTCAATACTTTCTTAATGAGGATTGTATTCCTTAGGGGACTACACTATAGAAGGGATGAGTAGAAACTGATTCTAGAATTATACCATACATTTATTTTACTGAAATGTTCAGTAGTAAAAAACAAATTGAAGAAAGAAAAGAAAGCACATGAGGGAAGGAGATGGAAGGAGGGAATCTGAACACCATGTAGCATCTGTCTCAAGCATTTTTAGTGATTCGTATCAGGCACAATTCTTTTTTTTTTTTTATAAATGAGTAATTTTTTTAATTTCTTTTTTTTTTGAACATGAAATGCTTTTTTATAGCATGTTTTACAAGGGGAGGGGGTAAGAGGGTCCAGGTGGTGGAAAAGTACAAAATCTTCTTGGCCTGTGCCTTGAAACATGTCATGGTCTATATGGTACACTGCCTTGAATTATGATCTACCTGCAGTTCTTCAGAAGATATGGTACACTGCTTGAGTTATGGTCTCCCTGCTATTCTTAAGAAGACATGGTACTCTGCTTTGAGTCTATCTGCAGTTGCTAAGCAGGATCTTGCAGCTGCCAAGCTTCAGAGGACATTGTGCAGGTGGGGAAAGGTAGGGGGTAAGGGTAAGGGCGAGGGTC